CAACAAACTGATGCAGCATTGGAGACACTCACTTACCTATGCCAAGAAATCTGGAAGACAGCTACCTAGCCAAGCAACTGGAAGATATTCATATTTGCGCACATTCCAAAGAAATGCAACACAACAGAATGCAGAAATCATCTAACAATATTATTAATATTACCTGCAAGTAAAATTTTGCTAAAGATAATTCAAAAACAACTGCAGAGGTTCAAGCCAGATTCAGACAAGAACAAGAAACTAGGGATGTCACTGCTGATGTCAGACAGATCTTGGCTGAAAGCAGAGAATACCAGAAAAACATCTACCTGTGCTTTATCGATTATGCAAAAACGTTTACCTGTGCTCTATCGATTATTCAACTGTGTGATTGATGACAAGCTATGTATAACACTGAAGAGAATTGGTATTCCAAAATACTTGACTGTGCTCACAAGGAACCTGTACATAGATCAAGATGCAGTTGTCAGAATAAGGGGGTGCTGAATGGTTTAAAATCAGAAAGGGTGTGTGTCAGGGTTGTATCCTTTCACCATACTTAGTCAATCGGCATGCTGAGCAAATAATCCAAGACACTGGATTACATGAAGAAGAAAGTGGCATCAGGATTGGAGGAAGATCCATTAACAAACTGCGATATGCAGATGAAACAACGTTGTTTGCTATAAGGGTATGGATTGCACCTCAATGTAAAGAACACAAAAATCCTCACAACTGGACCAATAAGTAACATCATGACAACTGCAGAAAAGACTTCAATTTGCTTGAATCCACAATCAATGTTCATGGAAGCGGCATTGGAAAAATCAAATGGCGTATTGCATCAGGCAAATCTGATGCAGAGGACCTCTTTAATGTGTTCAAGAGCAAAAATGTCAGTTTCAGGACTAAGGTATGCCTGACCCAAGCCACAGACAGTATTTTCAACTGTCTCATATGCATGTGAAAGTTTGACTATGAATAAGGAAGACCATAGAAGAATGATGCAATTGAATTATGGAATTATGGTATTAGGGAAGAATACTGAAAATATCATGGACTGCCAGAAGAACAAACAAATTTGTCTTGGAAGATGTACAGCCAGAATTGTCCTTGAAGTGAGAACAGAAAAACTGCATCTCTAATTCTTTGGACATGATGTCAGGAGAGTTCAGTCCCTGGAGAAGGACATCATGCCTGGTAAAGTGGAGTGTCAGCAAAAAAGAGGAAGATTCCTAACCAAATGGGTTGACACAGTGGCAGTAACAATGGGCTCAAACACAACAATTATGAGGATGGCACAGGACTGGGCAGTGTTTCATTCTGTTGTGCATAGGGTTGCTATGAGTCAGAACCAACTCAATGACACCTAACAACAACAATCACGGTGAATAGGTTCCAGTAGACCTGAACCTTAGTCAGGTTCCAGACTAAAACATACTAGGAAGAAAGACCAGGTTATCTACTAGCAAAGCCCATCCAACATCCAATCAAACACACATCACAACAGTCTGACCTACAACAATCATGGAGGTGGCACAGGACTGAGTACACAAACCTCAATCCTGTTTGTGTTGGGATTTTGTTCTGCTGTACAAGGGGTCATCATGAGTCTGGCGTCAACTTGACGTCAGCCAACAATAATATGCTATACACAGTAAAAAAGAGTCAGGGGTATGAAAATTAGTAAATCATTACTAATTAGTAATGTGCCTATGTTTAAATGGAGTCCTGGTGTGGCACTGTCGGTTAATGTGCCAGACTGCAAAGTTATTTGAACTGCAAGGTCGGTGGTTCAAGCTCACCAGCCGCTCTTTGGAAACCTCATACAGGGTTGCTATGGGTCAGAACCAACTCAACGGCACTTAACAACAACAACAACAGTTAAATGGATGATGAGGTGGAAACAGAGAACCAAAATGCACTATCGCTAAGTAGCACAGAGCCATTTCCGACTCACAGCGACCCTGCACAGGTTTTGCAAGGTGGTTTTGAAGCCCCCAATCTTTCGGTTAGCAGTACAGTGTTTACAATATTTGTGGGATTTGTCTGGAATCCAGGTATCTCTACCTAAACACAATGGCCACAACCTACTACTACCTATACACAACTGGAATCCAAAGAGGCCCACACTTCTATTTTCCCCTATTCAGATAACAGTAAACAATACAGACTCCTTGCCCTCCAAGGGACATATATCCAAGTAAGGAGTGATAATAAACAGGTAAGCAAAGGCAGAAGATCATGTCATATTGTGATAAATGCAGGAATAAAGTAAAGCAGTTTGACAGGATACAATGTGTTAGGGGAAAATGTACTCATTTAAGTGGGGTTAGAAGAGTACTGGTGTGGCATTGTGGGTTAATGCACTAGACTGCAAAGTCAGATTGAACAGCAATATTGGTGGTTCAAGTTCACCAACTGCTCCTCAGAAACCCTATACAGGGTCGCTATGGGTCAGAACCGACTCAACGGCACTTAACAACAACAACAACAGAGGAGTCACAGGCTGTATCTCTGAGAAGATAACATGTATTTGAGGCCTGAAGGATGAGAAGCAGCCAGCTATGCAAAATTTTAGGGAAAGAATTTTGCAGACAGAAGGAACTGTAAGTGTAAAGATCTGAAGCAGAAATGACTTGGCTATTTGAGGTAGAAAAGACAGTGTGGCTAGAGAATAAAGTGAGTTTGGAGAAGACAGCAGGACCTTGATGGTGGTAGCCATGGTTGGAGGTCAGTTACACCTGCCTTGAGTTTGGAACTTCTCAGTGTCCATGTTTTGTCATCTGTACAATTTGCACAATGAATGATGCAACAGAGCATGTTGTTGTTAAGTGCTGTCAAGTTAGTTCTGACTCACAGCTACTCTGCATTGGATTTTCTAGGAGTGGCCAGTGAGTTTGAACCACCAACCTTGCGGTTCAAATTGATCTTGCAGTCCAGCGCCATGCCAGGACTCCACAATGGAGTATATAGCCCATTAAAGGATTCTGAAAGCTCCTTTTCTGCTGGAAAAGTATTGTTACATAGAATCCTGTTATTATATGATCTAATGGAAACCTGATTAGCACACAAGAATAAAACCACTTGGAAAGAAAGATAAGAATTCTTTCTGCTGACTACAAAGCAAGTCAAAATAAGAAATTATCAAAATTATCCACGATCCATGAAAGGAAATAACACGCAACATCCTACTACTCTGAAAATATATGTGGGCTTGTACAAATTTATCCTTTGAGCAGAGTTTTTTCATGCCCATGTACATTTAACAATTATACAACCACCCTACAGTGATTAAATTTTCAGTTTTCAATGACCAAAAAGTTTTTCTGTATTTTTATGAAAATTAAATTACTGACGTTCTGAGAAGGCATAAACTTACATGTATTAGAAATAGAAACCACTTCTTAGCAGTAATTTTGTGGATGCTTATGTCATAATCTATTTAATACAAGAACTCTGTTGCTAGAACAAAGTTAATCCATTATATAAATGAATATTCACGAAACTGGTTGCTAAAGCAACTAACTCAGTACGTGCTAGGAAGTCAAGCAGTGTGAAATTACACATCTTACTCCTATTCTCAGTAGTTTCTGCTCGCTTTGCTAACCTGAACATGAACACATCTCTAAATATAAAGAGTCTTTCATTATCCTAGTCAGGTCTCTAAATTCTAGGTTGCCAGTCTTCTACTAGTAAAAGCAGATTCATTCTCAGCATCTCTAAATTTCATTCTGCACCCAGAGAATCTCTATAGGAGATCAGAGATTGAGACTTTTCCCATCTTCTTTTGCAAGATCATACAAGATGGTATATATAGGTATCAAACAATAAGCATCTTATGTTCCCAACCTTTCTATTCCACCAAGGGCAAAAGTCTCTTAAAATGGATCTTCGTAATGACTCAGCCTCAACAGCTATGAAGAAAAAGAGAACAGTTTAGCTTTTCTCCAAGCTGATCTCTAACTTTATGCATTTATAAAGTCATTTTTTCTTCCACCACTCACATAGGAAGGGCCATAAACAAATAAATGAGGGAGCTTCAGAAAGTTTGTGGAAAAATTCCTTATCTCTTAACTCCATTTTTCTATAAACTTTTTGAAGAATCCTAGTATAAACACACAATGTAACTTCTAATCCCAACCTCATCTCTTCAATCAAAATATTCCTCATTTCACCCATAAAGTCATACTTCAGATAGAAAATCCATTTCCATGGTTGGGGAATACAATTGCAGAGTTTCTCCTGTATAGTTCTAATTCACTTTTAATGTTTGAACCTCAAGGAAGAAAGGCAGCAAACATAGTTATCTGTCAGATAACCTCCTCAACTTTGCAGATAACTTCTCTTATCTTTGCAGACCAAGTCTGGGTATTACTGAGCGAGGATTTACTCTCTTCCCTTTTCAGGGACAGAGTCTGAATTACATCAAAGCTTTACAGCTTTACTTCTGTAAGTGTAGTTCAAGGACCTGCAGTATTTGCATCAACCTGTAGTGGTAGTGGTGGTGTGCTGTGGAGTCAGTTCTGACTCACAGCGACCCTGTACAGGGTTTCCAAGGCTGTGAATCTTTACGGAAGCAGAAAGCCTCATCTTTCTCCTGTCGAACAGCCGGTAGTTTCGAACTGCTGACCTTGCAGTTTGCAGCCTGATTCGTAACCACTACACTACCAGAGCTCCTTTTGCATAAGAATTTTTACGACTCCACCTCAGACCTATATACTAAATCATAACATGTAATTTTTTATAGCTGTCTGCAGCTCACCTTACAAGATAAAATCTCAACATTGAAAAATTTTACAGTCCATCTAGCCTACCAAGTGAGTTAACCCTCAAATATTAATTAAAACTGAAAATGATTTCAGTTGCTTTCACAAATTCTTTAGTTTTCACAACAAGAGGGCCTAGTTACGAGAAACGGCTCACAAAAATATAAATTGTTTACCTTGAAACACACAAAAGCTTATTATAACCATTACCGTCATTATAAGTAGAAGCCACTGGCACAACCAAGTTCTTACCTAATCTGAGCTCTCCGAAATTCCCACATCCTATCTTCTTGCCAACCCTGAAGTTGGGTCCCACCATAAGAACCCCAGAGGATGTTGATGACCCAGATGGGCGGGAACAGTGTGCACTCCTTTGTACCATGGGTTTACTTGTCCGTTGTCGTTCATCCTTTTCCCTACTAGGATGGTCCATGATCCTACACGTCAGAGTCTTTGCAAAACGAATATCCTCAGTGTGTACACTTCTCTTCAATAGAATATGTCCAATGAACTATAGTCAGAGAAAGGTAAGACGTTCTTTTGGCACCATATTTTGTTTCTAATGTATCTCCAGGAGATGAAAAATCATTGGTTAATTCCTGTAGGACATGTAGTTTGTAGGTTTCAAGCATAGGAGGATATATTGCAACCTAGGTAAAAATCCAGAAAATATGCAGTTAAAGATTAAATTTTAAACAAAATGAGAAAGTCACAATTAATTAGATTGGGTCTTATTAAAAAAGGAGCAAAATACACAGCTTTCTGAAATGGGTTCTGGTTTTACATTCTCCCAACAATTTAGCCGTCTGGACTAGTTATTCATCTGGTAACATAAGCGCAGTAGGCTGTAGACTGTGGTAGCTAAGGAAACACACAAAGCACTTAATATAAAATGCTTTCGTTAAATACTGTACATGGTGGTGGTGGTGATGGTTATGTGCCATGGAGTCGGTTCTGATTCATAGCGACCCTGCATAGGATTTCTGAGGCTGTTAATCTTTATAGGAGCAGAAAGCTTCATCTTTTTCCCACAGAACGGCTGGTAGTTTTGAACTGATGACCCTGAGGTTAGCAGCCCGACTCATAACCACTATGCTACCAGAGCTTCTTGAGTACTGTACATATGACCCCCCAAAAAAAGTTACTTGTTGACTTTTTCATTTCTAGAAAGCTAACAAAAAAATATGGTGGGGTAAGTAAAGTTAAATAAAATAAGGGCAACTTAATGAAAAACTTTTTGTTTTAATTTGCCTGAAAACTATGAGAAATAAGGCTTCTTCCTCTACCCCTTCCCTACCCTAACCATTTAGCAGGCACTGGAAGCAATCCAAGAGCCCCGATAGCACAGTGGGTTACACATTGGGCTGCTAACTGCAAATTCAGCAGTTCAAACCCACCAGCTGCTCTGAGGGGGAAAGAAGAGGCTGTTTGCACCCACAGAAATTTACAGTCTTGAAATTATTAGGAAGCAGTTCTACTTTGTCCTGTAGGGTCACTCTGAGTTGGAATTGACTCAAGGGTAGTAGGGTGTCGGAACAGTGATTGAGGAGGAGTAGTGGGTGGCACAAACAGTAAAGCACTACACGAGGTTGCCTACCATGAGTCAGAATTGACTTAGAGGCAACTGGCTTGGCTTTTTGGAGAGCAGCAGACATGTAATCCCAAAAGTTACCAGCTGACACCGACTATTTTTATGAGGGATTTTCCCAAACCCTAGCAATACTAAGTAACCCTAACCTAAAGCTGTGGAACACTCAAACTTTGTTCAAGTCTTCACTGTGGAACTGAGTGCATGAATACAGCTGGTATTCTCTGCTGTCACCAAAGATCCATCTGATATCACCAATGATATCCCAAGTTCCATGTTCTCTTCCGACTCTAGTTCGAATTTCTTGCAATCCTTCTTCTACTGTTGCAACCGACTGCGAATTATCTTCAGCAAAATTTTGCTTGCAAGTGATATTAATGATGCTGCAATAGCACAATATTACAACTCCAGGCTTACACTTCTTCTTCATTTCTTTCAGATTGGGAAATGATGAGAATGTTCTTCCCTTACAGTTTTCAAATTAGTGGTAGTGTGTCTACATGTGAGAAACTGTCACCTGTACTTTCTTCCTTCATATTATGAATTGTTTTGAGGTCAGGAGCAGGATAGGTCTTAGCCTATTCAAATCATCTGTAAGCAATGACTTCCAAAGTTTTCATAAATTGTCAATAATG